ACTCTAACTGTAAATAGATAGTAATAATTAGTTTGATAATAATGTAATTGTAATCTATTAAATAAAGTACACCAATTTGCGTTTAAAAAAAAAAAAAAAAAAAAGATTACACAAACTCATCAATTTTTTCTAAAAAAAAGCCTATTCATTACCTTCTACCAAACAACACAAGGCAACAGAAAAATAGCCATTTGGCTGGATTAAAGCAGAGTATAGCCATTTTGGCAAAAACACATATATACAATTTGGTAACTCAGATCATTTATTGGTAATAACTGAACTTAGCTTAAAAAACAATCAAGTCTTTAGATTTTTCTAGAAGTTTGATAGAAAATTCTGGAATATCTCAGAATTAAAAGCTAATATTATTAAAGAACTAGAAGAAATACATAATGCAGCCAACTGAGATCTACACAAATGCATTATACAGTTAATAGTTAAAACCTTCAAACATCCACCAGCATCAGAGAAAAAAATTCAAAGAATACACAAAAAGCTATGTAATATAATCAACAAAATAACAAAAAATCCTTATTTAGAAGAGTTAAAATTAGTAATAAATAACTTAGAAATGCAGTTACAAGAAGAGTTAGATCTTCTTTCAGATAAGTGAAAACAAAGGTCCAATGCTAAATAGAGAAAAATTAACAAAATACTTCTTTTCATTATACAAAATAAAACACATAACCTTATGCAGTACAAAAATTAAGATTCCAAACTCACCAAATGAAAATACACAAGAACAAACAATGAAATATATAAAAAAATTGTATATTTTTAAAAAAACTCTTTCTGGTTCATCTTTGGAAAACCAATATTTTAACAAAAACCAATATATTTTCATTGCAGAACTCTTACAGGACTAGGACCTTATTCCAAAGAAGACAAAACAAAGTCTTTAAACATGAACAAGGCTCAATATGAAAAGCTCAGATGTGACACAACAGCAAAAAAACTTTTAATTTTACAAAAACTAAAAGCAGTGAGAAAGAAAACTAAAAAGCAAGAAAAAACAGTAAAAACTCTATTCAGAAAACCAATGATCTTGCAGTTAACTATGCAATAGAAGGCACAGCTTGTTGGGCCAGTCAAGTAGAAGAAAATGAGTTTCTTAAAACAAACAAAGAAAATATTAGCTTTTTAGACCAAAACAAAGCATGTAATAGTGCCAAAATATCAACAAATCTACTTCAAGTAAACAACAAACAACAATAGAATCACATGTCTACTAGTAATAATCTTAGACATATGCCTGATAGCAACATGCCAGAACATATACATGTCAATGAAAACACTGTCCAACCTTAGCAGAGTATTACAAACAATGTGGCAACAATATATAACAAGCAAGTCAACAACACAGAAGCTACTACTACAAAAAATGTCAAACTCAAACAATAGTTAGACCTTTTTGCAAAGCTTAAAAAAGAAAAGCAATCTACACAAACTCCACTCTTAGACAAAGAATTTACTCCAAAAACAACAATGCTCTAATTCTAGATATACAAAGTCTTAACAATATTACAACTAATGATATTATTATGGCCTTAGCTTCAAGTATCAGAGAAGACTTTCTAGCAGCCAAAATACATATATTTAGAGAAAAAAGGGCTTTTCTAACAATCTTCAAACAGTCACTTTTTGGATATATTCCTACAATCTCAATTGTACCTTTCTTATAGTAAAACTGAGAAACATGCCTTTAGATAAATCTATAGAAGCCTTTCAGGATGTAGGGCAAATTGCATCAGTCAAGCCTCTTCTTTTTAAAAGGACTAATATCTGCTCAGATCAATGGTTAATTACTTTTGAAACTATAGAAGATTCAGATGTAGCTAAAAGAATCTCAAGAAATACACATATCAACAATTACAAAGTTACTACTGAATAACCTAAGTTCTGCTACTACTGTAAAAAAAAGATTATATTAAAAGAGATTGTAAGAAACTTAAAATCTCAATAGAAACAAAACATCTTCCTAAAAAAGCCAAAGAACAAAGAGAAAAGGCCAAAGAACAAAAACTTGCAATACTAGAACTGGAATTCCATGCAGACAACCCATATATTGACAATTTAGCAGAATGGGCTCAAATAGAAAGACCTATAGAGGAATCAAATTTTTTACAATCTCAATAAACATATAACCTTAGACAACTTGTTTTAAGACTTTAATAAAATTGCAACTTCCTTAACTGATATGCATATCGAACCTTTAACCAAGGACTAAACTTTTAACTCAATTAAGAGTGATGCAAAAGCTGACTCAACCCTCAATCCAATTGCTATGAATACATCTTCAGAGCTAGATGAAGCAGAATTTATACTAGTTACCTCCAAAAATAAAAGAAATAAGAACAAAAAAAAGAATCAGGACAGAACAGCTGGTCCAAGCAAAAGCAAGAAGTTTCTTCAATAAGACAGCTTCAAGTTAGGTCACCCCTACTAAGAACCAACACACTTAGTATAGCTTTAAATACAACCTCTATTTTCATGATCAAAATCACTACACTAAATGTTAAAAGGCTTAATAACAAAGCCAAAGCACAAAAAACATTTATTTTACTTAAGTTATACAACTTATGATTCAAGAAACAAACCTCAAAGACAAAACTACAAAAAACTTTCTCCTTGTGGTCCTCTAAAACAGCAATTCTAATTGGCAAAAAAAACATCAAACTTTTCAACTTTAAAGAATCTTTTGATAGAAGAGTAATTTCTGCTAACACAGAAATAAAGCAACAATTATTTTCAATTACGAATGTATATGCACCATCTAACCCTAAAGAGAGAGTTACTTTTCTTAGAAAATGAACACCAAGTTTAGAAAATACAAGTATTAACATTATTGCTCAAGACTTCAACACAAATATAAATTCTAATAAGGATAGAATAAGTCAAGCTACTTTCAAAATGATTGCTTAAGGGAACTTCTCAAGAATCTAATGTTAAAATATACCAATAAAAAAACTCTTTCTGGTTCACTACCGGAACTTATAGAAAATACAAAATTCCATATTCAAACGAAACAGTTCACTTTTTAAACTCAAGCAAAGGGAG